CTAAGGAGGAGTACGAGTCCATCGAGCTCCCTGGTGAGAAGCGCGGCTGGAAGGAGTGGAGCGTCAACAGCTGGTTTGACGGCAAGGACCTTTGAATGTGTGTTGAATAGGATGACGCCTGCAGTAATCAGGTAGTTGATGTTTTGCGTACGGGAGGGATCCAATCCTTTTTCTTTTGGCATGATACCATTTACAAGGCCAGACCCCAAAGGCCTCAAAGGGGCTTGCTAGTTTGTCATACATTTTCGGGTCGGTTACTTGATGACTAGTTACATGCCAGTTTTGCCCAAATCGGCAATGTCATTTAGACGAAAATTTGGTTCTTTGAAGTACTTACGGTAGCTACGCGAGATACGCAGACTGCTGAAGCTAAACCATCATGCATGCACACTATATGTGCGCACTTAAAGACTGCGAACCTTGAGAACCAAGTCACATAATAGCAAACGGGCTGTGGAGGGGCGGATGCATCATTACAGCGTATTATATCAGGGATTGGGGGTATCTAGCACTACAGCTCGCAGACGTAATAATGCAGGCACCCTAGGTAGTCCATCTCTTTCTCCTTTCCCCCTTTTCAGTCGTTCCCGCGAACAAAATCAAACGCTATGCATGCCTCTCGTGTGTGCACGTGTGCGTGTGTACCCCTGGTATCCCTAATCGAAAAATAACCCCGACGCCAGAAATGATGACTTGATCTCCGTCGATCGTCCACAACTATGTACACACAAGAAAGGGTTATACGGTCTCAAGACAAAGTAGAAAGAAAGAAAAGCGTCTAGTCAACGCGGATGATGACCTTCCAAGCCAGAGCGCCGGCCTCTCTGATAGCGCATGCAAGACAACCCCGCCGGCGTCTCGAGATGATGGCATTCCAGCCCTTCTCTGCGCAGAAGGCTCTCACCAGGACCTCCATGTCACTTCCAAACTGGCGGCGCCGGGACTCAAGGTGCATATTGGTCGTCGCAAGGCTGGCACCGTTGGCGGTACGTTCGAGAATGGGAGACGTGGGAGTCTCTTGCGTCGGGGCCTGACGCTTGAAGCCGGTGATACAGTCAATGACCAGAACACGAGGTGTGGTGTTCATGGTGGGAGTGAGAGATGGACGCCGGACGGATGACGTGTTAAGGAGTAAAGTATCCAGGGAGGCGTCTGGCTTCTCAAGAAGCTCTGAAAGGTGGATAACGGTATATGTGAAGAATTTGTGCAGGGGATGTCCTAGATGATGGTCAGTTTGTGTGGCTATCTCAGGAGGAGTTGCTTCTTCTTACCCGTGATGGTGGCCGGCTTTGAGCTCACACCGCCGATGCTGCTGCCGTCCACGTCGATCTGCTGGATAGTGGGGCTTGAAGGGGACCTTAAGACCCTGACGTGGGAGGACGGGTGGCAAGGATGAGCCGTAACAAAATGGATGTCCTTCATCAGTGAAAATTGGTGCTCCTTTGCTTCGCCGCCATTGGGACCGACAGAAAAGGAGATGGAGGCCGGATATGTGTAGAGTTCGTGAGCTCGGGTCACGTCCGAGAATGGGGTCATCACCGTCTCCTCAGTCGGAGTGGTGCGGGTTGAGTCCACGGGCGCAGATAGATTGAGCGACGTCAAGGAAATGCTCAGGCTCGGAGGCGGCTCCGAATAGTTATTCTCATAAGGGATGATGAAATCCGCGGGGAGTACCGAGCTGGGATCCGCATCACCTAGAACACAAGACTCGCGCTCGACGTGAGTCTTACCCCACAACCGGGCTTGCTTGCCTGTCTTTTTCATGTCATCTGCCAACGATGTTTAGTCTACGTCAATGGAGAGCTGATTAGAGAGTCACTTACCACAGACTTCGGCAACATCAATATTGACCCAGCCGTCACCATGTCCTTGGGGAGTGATATCGCTCGAGATCCATCCCATACATTGAGCAGAGCCAGCGCCAGCAGCAAGAACGCGGCCAATGATGCAAGCCGTGCTCCAGAAGCTCTTTCCGCGATACACGAAACCACCGCATAAGTTTGCCATCGGGCCCAATTTGGACATTGCCTCCTTGTCGTTCTCCAAGAGAGTGGTCATGATCAAGTGGTACAGTCCTTCGCCTGGAAGCATGAGGCCGGATACGTAAGACTTGGATAACCATCCCGACGGGTGTAAAGCTGCCGAGATCTTGTGCTTCCCGGACGGGTGTCGAGTAACGCTCGCTTCTGTCCGACCGCCACCGAAATAAGATGATCTCTTTGTGTCGATGCTCATTGGTGTCTCCGCAGGCGTGTGAATCGGCGTTGCTTCTGATACCTTGTTGACTGTCTCGGAAATCTGCTCGGCGTATGTGTCTGATTCGATATCGGGCCAGCGAAGCTTTCTTGCAAAATTCGTCAAGCCATTGACTTGTCTCTCGCTGTACCGTCCCTGAATGGTGTACACGGAGACATCGCCGTGAGAATGAGCATGGCTATTTGGGTGAAGGCTCATCTTCCCAGTCAAAGATGCCAGCCATCCGCCAGAGTTGCGCTTTTGAGTATTCGCTGGATCGACCTTTCGCTCAATGATTTCAATGTTCTCCAGCCAGGCGCGTGCCAAGTGCAATGACCACTTGACTGTTGAGTTTGCATCCTTTTCAAAGCGCTTAATCTCGGTGGGTCTAATGCTCTCGATACCGAGCTCTTCGCCTTCTGTAATGGCATCTAGCCTAATGAGCAGCTCGCACGCCAGGAGAATCTGAAGCAACAACCAGTATCTCTCCTCTTTGCGCTCCTCGTTGCTGTCAGCGTCGTCGATCTCGACGTCCGTTTCGAGCTCGTCGCCCTCGAAGGAACCCCAGAGGATCTGACCCAGTCTGATTCTCCATTCCACGTGGGAGAAGTCGATCCAAACATTGGGTGCAGCAAGGACTTTGACAAGCGCCGAGATCTGTACAGACAGGCTGTAGGGGTCATGGTGGTCGATGACGCGGGTTGGCGGATGCAGGATGCCCAGGAATAGCTCGTTGTACAGGGTGTTGTGGATCTTTCTGTGGACCTTGTTCTCCTTGTACCTGGCGCCATTCTTAATGAGCTGATCCAAAATGGACGATTCCTCCAAACGGCGAAGTCCGTCTTTGGAAGCCAACATTCTCTGGCGCTGTTCGACGATAGCTTTGGCCTTGGACCCAATGCTGTCGAAGCCGAACTGCTCTTCCTGAAGCGCATCACCAACAGGCATCTCCAGAGCCGCCTGGTACCCCATTGTGCCCTTCTCCAAGCCTTGCATACTCAGCATATTAGGCCGTTCTCGGCATCGGGGGTAGAAATGGGCTCGCTTCCTTTCCTTGGCGCACCGTATAGCAGCAGGATTGGAGTTCATGTCCCTCGTGATATGAGGCCAGGCTGTGATGCAGCTCCAGGCGGCGTCCTCGATCTGGACATGGTCGGTCAGGTCGCGGATCTCAAGCGACTCGTCCCAGGGAAAGGCGACAGATGGGTGGGGAGCGCCGGTGTAATGGCCCTCGGAGCGAGCAAAGTACTGAGGAGCTCCAGAGAAGAGCTTCTCAACGTCGTCGTCGCTGAGAGTTGCCATGATTTTCGTCAGTTTCAGAACTGGTTTGGCGGAAGGGCCATTGGCTTTCTGGTCGGCGCTGTCGAAGACGAAGGGAGGCGGGGAAGGCAGTGGCTTATTGGGGTTGAGAGGGGGCGGCGATCGAGAGGAACGGGACTCGGCACTGCTTTGCGGAGGGGAAACCTGGGGTTTGCTGGTGAGACACAACGGCTTTTACAACGGTTGAACAAAGAGACGCGGCCCAATTGGGGTAATTAGAAGAGCTGGTGTTAGGTTTTGACACTGGAAAGGACAAGATGGTTGGTTGGGTTGGTATGATGGTCTGCTTTCTCTGCGGGTAAACGGGAGACGACGTCTTTGTCTTCAACCGTTGGAAAGACGTGGCTGATGATGGCAGCAATGGACTGCAAAAGAAACTGTAGACTTGGAGAAAGAAAGACTGTCGACGAGGAGAAAGACAGAAAGGGGTTTGTTATACAAGTAACATTGACTAAAGTAAAGAGGGGACAGGAATTGGAGTCTCGGAAGCTGATCACGCGGCAGAGAAGGGACGGGTTATGCAAGGGAGCAACGGAGGTATAGATCGTCAGAGTCTGAGCAACGGGGTAGGTACGGAGGCTTGGAAACTTGGGAAGAAGGTATTAAGTAAGAATTAAAGGAACACTGGAACAGCGGATGAACATCTCGAAGGACGTCACTGCAAGCAACCTAAGCTGATGGCCAAGCAAGCAGACTGATGAGCAATGAGATGATGGATGGGCAAAGCAGAGATTGCAAGACAGGGCAGACCAGAAGTGGCCTGATGCAGCTCCCATTTGATGGATTGCATAGGACGATGGCGGGGGAGTGACACGGTGGAGAGGGGAATGAGGTCGTGGTGCAGTTGTGGTGCGTCGTGCTGCAGACTGTGGCGCCGTCTACCTCACCTTACGCAGTACCGTCACTGCCACCGTTTCCGAGCCTTACGTAAGGTACCTAGAACAAGGTATCCTCACCTAAGAACTCAAGATGCAGCCGCAGCCCGGTGAGGTGGGGACAGAGAGGGAGCTTGGAACTACCTTAGGAAGCTACCGAGTATACACAGTAGAGTACCCGAGAAGCACAGGCAGGGACCTGCCACTGCCACTTTCACTTTTGTGCAGATGCTCCTCTTCCACTGTCTGTGTTTTCATCTCCGTCTGCGGCGCACGGAATGTCCAGCCTTGGCCAAGACAAACCCACCGACACCGACGCGGGAACCGGACCTGGTCTGAGAGTGCGGGGGATACAGCACGGAGGGAAAGGGGGGGGGGGGGGTTTATGGTGGGTGGTAGTGAGGGAAAGGTGCGTGTGATTTGGGTAAAGCATGTAAGCTATGCGCAAGCAAGTTTGTGTCCAAGCAGCATTGCTGCGTTGCGTGCATCTTCCCGGTACGGCCTTGCTGCTATTCTGAGGAACTTCCTCATCTTCCAATTTTCAGCACCGGGGACATCGGGGACGTCAGACTAGGTGGACTCGAAGCACCTCGTCTCCCGGACCTTGCCTGAGAAGACAGACTGGGGTACAGGACCATAAAAATGGTGGAAATAGAACGACAAAGACGCTGGCGATCTGACGAGATCGAAGTATCGATCGAAATGTGGGAAGCTAAGACTTTCTGAAGGGAGCCGACTGTTTGGTGTAGAAAGGAATTACAGACAACAACGCATATAGATACGAAGAAAGGCAAACTTACGGGCAACTTCGTCGGTGACTCGGCACCGGGACCCCGTCCAGACTTTGTTGACGAAGCCGGCGTCGATGCGCTGCTGCTGACACTCCGGCCTTTGCTGCGACTCAACAGCCCTCCAAAAAGATCCCGTTTGGAGAACTTGCGCTCCCGCTCCGCCTCGCCCGTTCCGATCCCCAAGCCGCCCGCCGGCGCCTCCCTTCCATTCTCCTGTGGCGGCGAAAGCGGTGGTCGGGCTTCTTGTTGTTGTCGTGGCTGGCGCTTCGAAGGGGATAACGGCCGCTGGTCGTGTGCCTTGGATCCTCGTCTGAGGAGTGATAACGACGGCATATTTGCTGCTGCTGCTTCTGCTACAGATACCAGTCGCGGATTGTGTTAGTCGTGGGTTGGGATGAAGTTTGCCGTCGTGTTCGTCTCATTCGTCTCGATTTCGTCCCTGTTCTTCCCCTAAGGTAAAGTAAAGTCTCCAGTCTCTTTCTCGTCTTTGTTTTCTCAGAATCTTTCCCACTCTCTTGCAACTTGTTGTTCTTCTGCTCTTTCGACAAGCTTTCAACCGCGTAATCCTGATCCTCCAAGGTGGCTGATCCAAAGTGGCGTCGTGTGAGGAGCTGGTGGTGACGGCGATGGTGGTGGAGGGAAAGCCCCGACGTCTTATCGCCGACGGGAATGATGCAAGTTCAGGTTTCTGCAAGGTAACCTTTCAAATGTCGCAGTGAAACCCCGAGTTGCGGTGTTGAGTCCAAGTCTTGTTGCAAGCAATGTAAGTGGACGCAGGCCCGAGTAAACGATAGGCAGGCAAGCGTCGAAAGGCCGTAGACAGGTAAAATAATAAACAAGGGGAAAAAAATCGAGACGAAGTAGAGGAGGAGGGGGATGGGGGGCAAGTCTTGTAAGATGAGAATCAGAAGTAAAGAAGTGGGAGATGCAGTCTTACAGCAAATGAGAGGCAAGGCGGCAGGATGTTAAAACAAGAAATGAATGCGAATCAATAACAGAGACAGACAGACACACACGGCCGATGGTCTGCCCAGGCAGGGGTGGACTTGGACTTGGAGGGGAGTGACAACAAGAACAACACTTTCTGTATCCGTATCTCTCTCTATCTGTTATCATCCACTATTTCTCTCTCTCTCTTTCTTTTGCTTCCCTCACTCCCCTCTTTGCGCTGCTGGACACGCTCTCTGCCTCCCACTCACTCAGTCCATTTGTTGGGCTGGGCCTGGGGCCCTTTGGGCTCGACTCTTTCGACGAAGGGGGTCCCCTTCTGACTGGACCAGTGGACAGTAACGGGATAAGACATCCACGGGATAGGACACGACGAGGGGGGCCGCAGAAGAAGCCATATCCACTTTGTTGGTGTACCCCTCGTCCTAGCCGCAGGCGACATGCAACAAGGCACCGGGGGGAGGGGATCTGGCTGTCTAGTCCGCTACGGCAAGGAGAGCGAGAAAAACAGAGAGAGGGAAAAGCGTCCTCGTGCCTATTACTTTTCACGTATCTGAATATAGCTGCATACCCTGGGATAGAGAGCTCTGGGGGTGGAGGGAAGCGAGGAAGATGAGCCCCCCTCCCCCTCCCACCCCGGGCTAAGAGAAGAAAAGGGTGGGCAGAACGAACGGCAGTCTCAGATCTTCAATGCTCCCATGTCGAGTGAGAAAAAAAGGTAGAGAGACAGGGACGAGCAGAGAGGAAAAAGCACCGAAAGGGAGATCAGCAAGATTACAAGATTAGGGAAGAGACGAAAAAAGAACGCCCTATGGAAGCAGAGCGAGCTTCAGCTTCCCGTTCGTTCGTCATTCTCCCACCCCATAATCCAGATGGACCAGGGGGGAGGGGTGTGAGTGCCAGAGTGGGCGTTCCGCGTCTGGCAGGCATGGCATGGACTTTATGTGTGTGTGTGTGTGTGTGTGTGTTTTTGCACTCTTTCTGTCTCCCATCCCTCGTCGTGTAACTTGCTGCGTTGTGACTTCATCGGGGAGTGCTCAGCCCAGCAAGAAAACCAGGAGCCCAGTTCCATGTAAACCTCTAGGATATCTTAGGGGCTCCACCCGGACTCCCGCGTGGCGGCCGGCTTCGCCATTCTCGCGTTGCCGTGGCCTTGGAATTGCCATGGTGTAATGATGATAAAGCAGCGAGGCAGAAAAAAAAGAAGAGATCAACAAGATGACGACCAGCTCGAATGGCAATTCTAAAATGTCGCACGGCGCGGACTGAGGAGAGGAATGTCAGATTTTGAAATTGGCGGCTTGTGCTTTTTTTTCTCTTCATCTTATCCCGTATAACGCCAACCGAATTATACCCTCCCTCACCTCGTCATTGCAGTGGTGCTAATGTCAGATTGCATGATAGCGTGCGTTCTGCCCGCCGCTCATCTTTTTCGGTCTTGCATTGTCTCCGGCAGGTCCATCACCAACGAGAGATGTCCACTGAGGACTCGACAGGGGTACATGAGGCAAGAGAAAAAGATTCGCAGACACACACACACTCTCTCTCTCTCTCACACATCAGACAGCCGCAGCGGGTAAAGGGAAAGGAGATCCATGATCACGGCCGCAACAAAACACCATTTTAGGGGCCCCCTCTCTCGTCATCGACAAACAGGTGGAGTTTCTTCTAGATGGGCTTGGTGATGAAGAAAGAATAAGAAATCATGAAGAAAAGCCATTTCGTGGGAAGTAATGGGGATGAGGAAAAAGAGACGAAGGAAGTTACGAAACGCAAAAACATCTGCAACAGGCCAGATTCAGAAAGCTGAAAATCACACTACACTGCAGGTATCCGTAAAACCAGCTGGCCTAGGTCTAGCCTTCTCGCTCATCGAAAAGTGCATGTGAAATCCACCCAACTTGCCTTGAGCCGCTACGATGCTCGCCAGCTCGCGGCCCTCCGAGACAGGGTCTCGTTCGTCTTTTTGGGGAAGATCTCTGATTAGGTAGTTTCGGGGATCCGCAAGCCCACACAACATCGCTCCTCTCCACCTCCTTTGGGCAGTGGGAAACCAGAGAGGGGAGGAGGGGAGGATTGACGATGGATCAAGGTGTCTGTCTCATGGATTTCATGTTGCAGCTGCGGTGGGCTTCTTCTCTGGTTGATGTTGCGTTGTCTGCTCTTCTCGGAAAGCCTTGATTTCAATACTCACCGGAATCGTGGGATTCTGACCCCGAAAGACCCTCACTCATGCCGGATACGGTTGGGCAATACCGGAAGAAAAGAAAAAGAATGCACATAGCGCATCATTAAAGAGAAGGGCCAAAAAGCAAGAATACCACGAAATTCGTATATGCCGCTAAAAGGTCAAAAATCGAGTACTCCGTACTCCGTACAGGCAGTGCAAAAGAATTCTGGGCAGGGCCAGGTTCGAATTAGCAAGGACCACGCTTGTGCGGCAAAGATGGTGTAATTTGACATTTCTTGCAGAACTTGAACGCCACCATCGTCAGTAAACCAAAACCCGTTTGCCGGGCCCAGTCGTCGCACATCACTTTCCTTTGCAAGCCGAAGCACGCATTGTGCCACCAATGGGTTTTAGGGCCGAACGGCAGAGAAATAGCGTATCACGGAGGTACCATGTCGCGTCTTATTTGCGTGTGGCTTGGAGACCTTGAAGACCTTGAACTTCTTCCCGCCCGCCTCCCCTTGGCATTAAAGATCTTCCCTTCGGCTGTTCTTCTCGAACGTCTAGCAAAGGAACCAGCATTTCGAATGCCGCCGAGCCGACCATGAAATGGCGGGATTTAATTGGAACCGAGTCCCTGAACGCAAGGATGACCTTGAACTTCTGGCTTTGAAGCTCTAGCTTGAACTTTACAGCCCAATTTGCCTCCCCCTCGTGACCATTCTGAAATCTACATAGATAGAGAGGGTCTAGTATTGAGAACATTCATGGAACTATTTCAAGCACGATTTCCGAAACGAAGACAACGGGAAGCTTGCCTCACGCGGCAAAACGACAAGCTCTGCTCTACCCTTCCCGCCAGGACCGAACGGAACATGGGACATACTTTCTTTGACAAGGGGGGCCTCCGTCGTCGTGGCTTGGGAGAAGGTCTCCGCCGGAGAGCATGAGCACTGGGCAGCTGGTGGGCCTGGATCTACCTGGACTGTGGACATGAGACGACATGTCACGGGGGTGAGTGTGGGCGCGACGTGAACAACGAAGGGAGCAGTGCTGGGCTTCTCTCCATTGTTCTCGAACATCTTCGTCTCATACCACTGGAACAAGGGGGACAGGAGGCAGGAGGAAGAGAACGGAGAAGAAAGGAGGTTGTATTATTCTCAGCCGAAGGTCCGGTTCCTCCAGCAAGCCGGAAAGGGGAAGGAAGGCATATCATCAGAAAGGTCTCTTGACAAAGTTGACAAGTTCGGGAAGTAGAGAGCTGCGTCCCGCGGACTAATTCTGAACCCTGACTATAACACCAGTTCGCATCCCTAACAGAGTTCAAATAAAAGCCCACCGCCGAGGTGACTTCCAAACGGAACGGGTTACACCAACGAGTTGCAACAGAGCTGGCCCTGGTGCGTTGCGTACGCCGTAGACATATTGACATTGACATGCTACTATAGAAGCGAGAACGTCCAGAAGGACGCAAGAAAAAGGTTAAAGGAAACTCTAAAGGAGCCCCAATCTCCCCTTTATGACAAGTTTACACGAGAAGGGCCAGAACGGAAGAGGACGAGGGCGTGAGCAAGCGAGCCTAGTAAGCCCCCCGGAGTCTCGGCAGGACCTCGCCACAAGTTACTGAAACGAGAGGAGGAAAGATTTCCAAAACAACAGGCAAGGCTCATACATAAAAGTGCGCTAGCAAAGAGAGAGAGAAAAAAGTTCGGAGTATGGCCGGGCCAAATTCCTCGCCGGCATCCACTGGGATTGTCGCCAACGTAGCAAATCCTCGACCGCCGACTGGTCGACAAGCCCGAAGCGACACTGAAGCGAGAAAGCGACGTGGGTGGTGGTGGTAAACTGGTGGTTTCCTCAAGGGGAAGGGCCTTTAATTTAATTCCCAGGTGTTTGGGGGGGCAAGGGGTGTGTGGTTGCAACCTCTGCCCGTCAACGTTTTGAACTTCGACTTTCCCAAATCCGAACCGGCGCCTCATCCCGGCCTAGTTCTAGCCCACTTCCCGTTCACTCGGTGTCGCGCCACGTTTCTAGGCGCACCCAAAGCCCCAACCAAGCTCTGGGGGGGGGGGGGGCTTACCAATATGTTTGCGAGCCACTGAGCTTCCCGGATGACATAGAGCTCATGTCCGTGGTGCCACACCTGGTTTGCGAGGCTAGCTATTTTAGCTTCAGAGCTGGAAGTGTCAGAATGCTAATGTTAATTTTTTTTAAACCAGGCAGGGGAGAAGCGGACGTCTCGGCTCGGACGGTTTGTCGCGGAAGGCAGGGAAATGCCCAGCTTCCGGAGCTGACGGGTATGGCTTCCGCGGGGGGCCTGGGCTGGGCTGGCTAGGCTGTCCGCCTTGTCCTATATCACGAAACGATGATGGCTTCGAACATCATTTTGAGTTTGCACTTGTCCATCATTTCTTGCATTCATCTCGAGCTATCCAGCAGGGCCGCGGCCCTGGCCGCGATCGCCCGCGGAACACCCGCCCCGGCTTCATTCCGGACGTATATGCTGGAGGGTCGTGGCGGATGGTAATATCAGGGTATCATTCGTAATCGCGCCCGCCTTGACCGTCCATGCCGAGAGCAGCTATCTATCTCTCTTTCCCCCCTTGTTTGTTCTCCATGTGTGTGTATGTGCGTAGAGCTTGCAGCTTGGCAGCTTGAAGGAGGGTTTCCCAGTTTCCCTTTCCTGCGTATTTGTAAATACGATGGTCTTGGAGTCGACCAATGAGCATGTCAATCCTGACCCTTTGCCCTTCCAGCTTGGCGAACGTAAATCCTCCTGAAGGACGTCCGCTCGGTGAAGCCAATAGCGATAAGTCCGTGAAACGCCGATCGATGCCAACATCGTGAGTCAGACCTCTAGATTTTTCAAGCCGGCGGTGTGTCATGTACTACGATGAGGAGGTACTTCGGATCTGGTACAATAACCAGCTCCTGTTTTTTCGTTCGTAGCCTCAGTAGCTTCAGCTCATCCTGTTCCAAATGATTAGCCTCGGCCCTCCCTCCAGGGGTGAAGATTCGTTCCGCAGTCGCTCTAGGGACAGACGTGTCACTCCTCTTACCTCGGTGTCCAGGTCCAACACCAGGGTGCCCGACGCATTCACCCAGTTCCAAACCTTTGCGGCAAAGTCCTCCAAGCCTTGCGGTTGCTCCTCGCCGTTCTGCTGCTGCTGCGCCGCGGCGCCCTCGCCCGAGAAGGAGCCTCCTCCGGATGTCTGTAGCGTTGCTGCGTTGAAGGACGACAGCTGACCGCTCGTTCGTAGTATCGCGCCGGTGACTCGGTCGAGGATGACGGTGGCTTTGACGCCGGGTTTATTCGAGAGGCGCTTGAGGGTCTCGTCCAGCGCGTCTGGTCCGTTGGTCTGCGAGGGGACACATTCTTTGTTTAGCTATGACGCCATTGCTGAAGAGCAGGAGGGGTCGAGGTCGCTCACGGGTGTTGCGTCGGCCATATTTGATAGACTGAGAGTTGAACAAACGAGAGACAGGTACGGGCGACGCTGCTTCTGAGAGCGTCTCAAATTGTACCGAAACTTCGCAAAAGAATCGAGTGTCGTTGAATCGTGGAAACAAATGAATGCCCCCGAAAGCTGGGTTGGGTCTCGTCTGTAAGGCTGGGTTGGAAGCTAAAGTGCCCAATAATTGGAGCTAGGATTCACCGGGTAACAGCGTCTCAACGTTGTGGTGGGGACCAGGAGCTTGACCAAATTCTGCCGCACCTGACCGCCGAAAAGTTCTGGCTCCAGACTTTGCAGGGGTCCTAACCTTCAATGAGCCAGCCATCTCATGTGAAAAGTGACCAAGACTTCATTGCTCAACACTCGGAAAATTCTACAAAATTTCAGTCTCACAGCCATAAGATTCACAAATAAATCAAGTCAACTCTAGGAGAGAATATCCGATAAATAAGACATCATGGGTTCTAGCACGAGAAAGAAGAAGGAAAAGGCCAAGGACTTTGCGGTATGAACATCTCAGTGACGCTGCCTCTCATGAGACCTCGCATCAATACTGACATGCTCCTACAGAAACCAAAGTTTAAGGTCGGAAAGGCCAAGGCCAAGCCTACCAACTTCACAGACACAAGTTTCAAGGCAAAGTCCATTGCTATGGGCCACCAGAAGCTCTCAACTGAAGCCCCCGATAACGCTACTCAATTCAAGCACAACCTCTCATTAGCCTCTACATCAAGAGCAGATAAGCAGCGCAAAGAATCTCTGGCCCATCTGACAAGCCAGGTTCTGGCAGACAACAACCCTGTCGGAACCGCAACGGTGCTAAGCAAACTCCTGCCCCTGATCTCAGACGCCTCAGGTCCTGTTCGCAGCCAGCTGCTGAAGCTGTTCCGGGCCCTGCCCGAGGCAGAGGTCAAGCATCACGCCGAAAAGTGCATCATGTACACCCGCGCCGGAATGACTCACCTCTCTGCCGATATCAGCAACGACTCGCTATCCGTTCTCGAGTGGCTTCTGGATGTCGCGGAAGACGAGACTGTCAGCTGCCCCGGCGGTTGGGTCAAGACTCTCAACAGCTTCTGCGCGCTGATGGGCTGGACCGTGAAGACGAGCTCGGGGTGGTCGACCGCCCCCAAGACGGGCCTCCGCACAAAGGACGCACAGTCGCACGCGAGGCAGGTCGCCGTGCTGGCTAGGTTTATGCAGGCCGGACTCAAGCCCGAGGTTGCGGGGCCGAGTAACCCCAACGCCTATGCGGACAATATGTACCGGGTGCCCCGGACGCCAAATCCTTTTGCGTACCTCAACCTTTTTGGGACCCGCCGGGACGAGGAAGCGGAGATGTATAATGACCGCGAGTCACGGCAACGGGTTTTCCACAGGAGGTTCATGGATTCGTTCCAGCGAGGTGTGGAGCAGTCTAAGAAAGAGGGCGGTACCATCGGTCGTTCGGCCGTTGCATTGGATCAGGCCTTGACCGAAGGTATGAGCGGGTACGAGGCGACGTCTGCTGTTGAGCCTCAAGATCTCCTTGATCTGTGGTGAAGTATGTGGCCCCGCAAATCTACAATGATCTACAATCTTTGGCGGTCTCAGGAACCTGCCCGACAAGATTTCCTGCTCGTATCAACCTCTCCCCCGCAGTATTGGAGGTTCCAGTCACTGCCGCTGAAGGTCAGTGCCCGAGCAGCTACGTCCTGCCTGTTGGGGCAAAGTAAAGCGCCGGAGGGTTTCTTGCGAGATAGAATGACTCTAGGCTTTATCGCGATAGACGTTTGGTTTATTCGAATTGGTGGACGGGGCGAAGTGCTGTTCAAGCCGCTCAATAAGTCCCAAGAGCGTCGCCATCCGCTACCTCATCATGTAGCATTCATAGATGGATATATCAATGATACCCATCTCACCTCGGTGAGATTTCTGTTGTCTAAAAAATGTAGTTATTCCGAAATCAGAGACGAAGAGACATCTCTCAGGTGAATGACTGTCCTTTGGTGTCATGTGGTGAGCCGATTAGATTGGAAGGTCCTCAATTGTCTTCTTTTAGCTTTACTCTTGACACGAAGCTGCCATCAGGCAGCATCTTACATGCCTGATTTGTTTGTTAGATGCTCCATAGGGAACTATTCAAGTTGACTCAACTTCAGACACAAAGGTGAGATACGCAGAATACTTTGTATCTTCAAGGCCTTTCAGCTGCCTTTGTCTTTACGGGATCACTCGTATATTATTGAACCTCTACCCGGGTTACCTCTCTCTCTTTTCATGTTCTGCCTTGCTGTAGGCAGCTAACTCGAAGGACCTCGTCGAGACAAGAAGTCAGTGTCATGTCAAATGAGCGCTGTCAAAGGAGAGGTCTTCTCTTCGTCTGACCTTTCCTCTCGTCCGAAGCTTCGATGAGATTTCGTCCAGTGTTTTCAAGTTCCGATGGAGCCTTCAGAAATGAGGCAGAAGGTCAAGTCCTGGATGGTGCTCTCCCGCCCGATTGTAATGCCTCACGAGGCAGTCACACTTCAACACTCATGCCCGCTTAGTCGTCCTACCCACCTACTTCGTTCATTGTGTCTTCCTTCCTCTAAGGGCGGTGCCTGCCCTCGGCCTCCAGCCCTTTTGCCCTCTACAGACCGACCTACCGCCTTCCAGCCTTCCGAAGTCCTCTCATCACGGATGTTTATATCTCATCTGCTGCTGCCCAACTTCTTCCTCCTCCCTCTTTTCCTCCGCACCCGTCACAGATCGTTGAGAAAGGATCACCAGCAGGAGATCAGTTTCTGACTTCATTCTTCGTCTGAGAGGTAAGTACTTTCCACATTGTTTGATCAGCGAATTCATCATTCCCATTTATTTTTCCATCAATCCCCGTCATCATTCATCGACGGATTCTGCCGTCTTCAACTTCGATCGTGGAACGTGTTGACGAGCGCCAAATTCTTGGCTTCAATCCCCCAAATTGTTTTCACTTTGCAATCAACTTCACATTGATATTCCCAGCCCTTGATCCCGACCTGCTTGCTCCATCGGAGACTGCAGTTTCTCGAGAACATCCCTTCTTCAAGGCTCCTGCCAGTTTTCACCTCGGAAATTGACAGTCTTCCGGTCTTTCCTTCCTCGTTGTAACCACACCAACCGTTTTCGGGTTTCAGTGGCTTCATTGTTTTCTCTCACACAAATCTGGCTTCCTTCTTCTTTCTTTGCGCTGTACTAACTCATCGACAAACTATTCAGCACCAAGGCTCTCGCCCCGTGTAGTCTTCCTTGCAATTTTCGCAGCATCCTTCGATCAAGCAAACCAAGGTAAGTACCACGAGCCGCATTACCCCGACTAACCAAAAAACCAAAACCTAATCAACATGAGCAGACTTCCTCCCGCCGAGATGTCTGCCTTCGACACTGCCGATATGCAGTCGGCTCTTTCTGCCGATGGCAAGAAGGCCCCTGCCGCTGCTGTCAACAGCGATGGTACAAAATGGGCCGAGCCTCTGCCCTACAACTACGACGAGCTTGCCCAGCAGGGTCCCGAGGTTGCGACTGAGTGGGCTGGCAACGGTGCCGTTTACGAGTGGGATGAGGAGTTTGGCGACGTTGGCCCGAAGTTCCCCGACCTCGAGCTCGCTCTCTTCGGTGATTCCAACTCCCGCATTGCCTCTAACTCTGGCCTCGACTTCTCTGTGTAGGTTCCCTTTTGGCAATGAATTGAATAAGACTGATGGCTTGTAGCATCTCTTCTGTCGAGGTTACCCAGGAGGGTGAGATCCGTGTTGAGCCTGTCCACTCCTACAAGGACGCCGGCTTGCACCCTGTCATGCTGGAGAACATCGATCTTTGCGGCTATGAGGCCCCGACACCCATCCAGAAGTACACCCTTCCCGCCATTCACAAGGGTCTCGATGTTGTGGCTATTGCTCAGACCGGCAAGTTTCCCTCTGTTTGCATCTTGTTTACTATTTCTAATGTATTCAAAAAGGTTCCGGCAAGACCGCGGCTTACCTTATTCCCATCTTGAACAAGCTCATGGGCAAGGCCAAGAAGCTCGCTGCACCTCGCCCCAACCCTGCCGAGATTGCTCTTGGACAGCAGTGGGTTCGTGCAGAGCCTCTGGTGGTCATCGTTTGTCCAACTCGCGAGCTGGCTATTCAAATCTTCAATGAGGCCCGCAAGTTCTGTTACAGAACTATGCTTCGCCCGTGTGTCGCCTATGGCGGTGGTCCCTTGAGGGACCAGATTCAGCAGCTTGGAAAGGGCTGTGATGTTCTCATCGCTTCCCCTGGTCGTCTTGTCGACTTCATCCAGCGGCCAGACACTCTCTCGCTCAAGCGCTTGAGATACATGGTCTTCGACGAGGCCGATGAGATGCTGCATGATGACTGGCGCGAGGAGATGGATGTCATCATGACTGGCGGTGGTAAGCTCTACCCGTTCACTGTTCTTGTCTCGAACCTCCACTAAACCTTTTTTCAAGAACAGCAGGAGGGAAATATCAAGTACATGCTGTTCTCGGCTACCTTTCCCAAGCCGCTCCGCGATCTCGCGAAGGAGAACCTGTCTTCCTCCAGCGTCCGCATCAATATCGGTCGCATTGGAAGCACCCACACCAACATTCTCCAGCGCGTCTTCAAGTTCGACGCCTTCGAGAAGAAGGAGGCTCTCAAGGATCAGATCAACTCTCTTCCTGCCTGCCGCACCATCATCTTCGTCAACCACAAGCGTACTTGCGATGACTTGGACGACTTCTTATTCAACCTTGGCTTCCCTTGCACCTCGATGCATGCTGATCGCACTCAGCTTGAGCGTGAGGCTTCTATGCGCGCTTTCCGTGCTGGAAAGTCTCCCATCCTTATTGCCACTGGCATCAGCGCTCGCGGCATTGACGTGAAGAATGTCAACCACGTCATCAACTTCGACCTGCCTAGCTTGGATCATGGTGGCATTGAGGAGTACACCCATAGAATCGGTAAGCAGAGCTCTTTCTTGCATGTTTTCATCTGCGCATCAAAAATGGC